GTTAATTGATTTCGTACCTATACAAAAGTTAATTTTATTACTTCAGTGGCAATGCCGCACATGTTTGACATTGAAAAAGGGTTTAATCCTCTTTGTATCAAATTTTGTTTTCTCAGCAACTCGAATATTGCAGATGGTCTGTTCTCAGAATTGATTGTCAATCAATCATGTTTATACATCCGGGTATGTGGTTCTTCATGCAAGGTGGCGCTAAGATATTTCTTCTCGTTTGAATGAAGTTGGTCAGTAATGCTGTATTTAAGTGATCTAAATCGCGTAATTATTCTTTTTACTAATCTTGCCTTAAACCGCTAGAATATGGATTTTAGTACGTGGTTAACTTTTTCCGCCTCCTCTCTGATTTTTAAATTTGTAGATTATTTTTATTATCTGTGATCAACAATGGAACACATGTACTTGAAAACTTGCACTTGAAATATTTACACGCGACGAATTCCTGTTTTGAGGGAACCAAGTTTTCGCTTTCAGCCAAGCCAAGTACTGAAACTCATCGACTCTTTTACTTTTATAAATGGTCAACAATCACAAATGATGTCACAATTAGTTCTGGTCAGCAAGCTTTGTCTTAATCATCTGCCGTCGTCATTTTTGACATGAACAATGACGAGATGACCGTTGTTCCCATACATATGATCATAACTGTTTGGACCTTGCGAGTCCTCTGTAGGCTTATTCATGTTTCTGACATTTCCGTTCCGTTTTTCATGGTCTGAATCAAGAGTTTCTAACAATACCCTTTCGAAGCTGTTCGATGTCATCGTATGGATCTTGTTCGTATTAAGTCGATGGTGTCCAGTTGCAATACGGTGATACAGACTGTCTCCAAATTTTGCAGTGATTTTTGGATAGCGACCACTATCCTGTTGGCTCGCTTGCGCTCAGCAACTTTCACCCGCAATGGCCGAGATGTCGCAGCTTGTAAGTCAGGCAGTCCATCTAATACTTAACATCCATATCATCTTCAGTGGTTATCTGACCTTTACCTTCATTAGTAGTGGTATTAACTTCCATTTAGACTTGAACGCAACTTATGCTCGTTAAGATTTATAATCTAACTGATAGATTCTGAAAGATCCGGAAAGTGAGGAATGGGCGTGGTAAATGAGGGTTCTTGCTTCAGTTTAACTTTGTGTTCGGCTGTAGACCTAGATGCTTTCTGGATGAGTTTTTCTGGGGATCCGTTTCATTCCACTGCGTGGTAAGCATGCTTTGTTAACATTCGAATCCCACTGTCTGACCACACGTTGGCTCGGTCCATCAAACATTAGACCACTCCGGCCTTGGTGGTAATCAATTGGTTAGGCCTGAAGTTAAAATAGTGGTCGATGTGAGTAGCTTTAATGTATGCTGATTTTTCAATTGAGTTACTGGCTAAGCAACTAACTTTACGAACGAGGTACCTTGACAACTAGCCATGTATGACATGAAACGTTGGTATGTTCTATAACAAAGTGCTATGCACAGCAATCCCGTAAGAAATATGAACACCATGGAGCTTATCCTCCATGTACTAAAACAGTGTTCAAATAGCCAAAGCATTCAAAATACACCTTGAAAAGCTGAGCATCGGCGCCAAGGCAGCTGGTCATCTAGAAACACGGGAGCACGCCGATATCAAATTTGACCGTACCGACAGATGGCTCGCTACTTCTAGATGCAAGATGGCGGATCTTGCTCCCGAACAATTATTTAAATAATTAAAAGAAAAAATCTGTTTATATCAACCATTTGTAAATTTTAATCCAGAACCAGTGCCTAGATCCTTTCGAATAATTTTTTGCAAGGACACCGACCAAATCCATGTTAAAGGTAGGAAATGGTATGGTGAAATGTCTGCGTCAGACTATTCTCTGAACACAATATGAGATCTTCATTTTCTTGTTTTACT